TGCCATGAACCGGGGAATCAGGGAACCTGGGTTCTAGCTCCAGACTTGTTACCATGTGTGTGATCTTAGGCCAATTACTCAGCCTGTCTCCTTGATTTTCCTCCTCTGTAAGATGGGCAGGGCAGAGATGCAGTGCTGAATTTGGACTGGAAAGCCTCTGAGGTCTGGGCATAATTAGAATGTGCTGAGATTCCAAGCGGCACGGCTTGGGAAGGACAGTGGAGGGAGTTACTGCAGACCCAAATTGGAATATGATTTGGTCCAGATTTCCGGTCTGTGCTATCTTGGAAGATAGGGGAGGGTGGGGGCTGCATCTGGGCTCCTCTATCTCTCCATAAATCCTTCCCTGTCCCCTTTTCCTCCCAGCCGCTGCTGGGCTCTGGTGTGATGCTGGGGGCTTTGGGAGGCAGGATTAGTAGGGCCATGGACATGGGCTCTCATAACGTCACCAGACCCTACTCACAAAGCCCAGCTACTACACATCCGTGAATCTCCTCTGACTTCTTGATCCCTGCCCAGGCACATCTCCGCCCCAGGTCCTTCTGTTTGCACCCCTGATACTCTAAATAAATATTGTTGGATCCAGTCCTGAATCAGTCTGAGTAGAATGCTTCTTAAAAGTAATAATGTGATTGCACATACATAACCTATATCTGATTGCTTACCAGCTTAGGGGAGGGAAGGAGACAGAATTTGAAACTCCAAACTTTAAATAAAAATGTTTTAAAAATTGAAAAAAAAGTAATGATGCTGGCATCCTGTTTGGTCATGTGGTTGGGTCTCTGCTGGGGGTCAGGGGCCCTCATTCTGGGGCTCTGTGGAGGTCCACATTTTACCTTGGGGGCTGCTCACCTGTCTGTCCTCCCCAGCACTTGGGGCCTCTTTGCTCGACTTCCAGATCTGCCTTAAGGTGGACTGAGAAGCAATTTCCTTCTTGGAGATTTGGAGGCTTCCAAAGCAAATAAAACCAAGTGCTTCCAGCCACAACTTAGGGTGTGGGCTCGACCATCAGAGTCTGGCCGGGTAGAGAAATTCCAATGGCAAACACTTCCCCCCTCCCACTCCACCCCTTCTCTGGCCCCCCTTGCTGATGTGGCAGCCTGGGATGCTGGGGCTGCTTCTGCAGGCTGTCATTAAGGAGACATTCCCTCTGCCTTTCAGGAGGGGCTGTGAACGTGGCAGGCAATGCTGCATTGATTCCCAGTGACATCACCTGCAGGTTTGGTTCCAGCCTCATACAGGGAGAAGCAGAACATCATGGGAGCCAGCCTGAGGAGGATTCTGGGTGGACTCTTGTGATTGTGGGGAGAGGGCAAGGCTGGGACTGTGAGGGCAGAATTCTGGTGGATGCCAGTACAGACCAGGGACTGCCCCACTCTCCTATAGACTTGGTCCCAAGTCAGTCACTCATTGTGACCTTAACTCCTTGCTGACTGGCTAACAGAGGAACCAGAGCCCAATCAGGCTTGCTCTTGCCCCAGACCCAGTAGGTCCATCAGATAGAAGACCACTTTGTAAATGGCATCCATTCCTAGACAGGCATGGTGGGGGCTTGGGCTAGGGTAGGTTCTAGTTCCTGCCTTTTTCCAGATACAAAAGCAGAAAGTTTGTTCTGATCAGAAATACTTCTTTCACTCATCCCACTCTGGTGTCTGGCAGCCTGGAAAACTTGCTTTGTTCAGTAGAGAAATAGAAGTTCCCCATCAAAAAAAACAGATTATGTGGGAGAGGGCATATGCCAACATGATGCCCAGATTGGACATTGGCTTCTAGACTTAAGGGACTTTTCTAGCCAGCAGAGACCCAGTGGGATAGGTGGGCTCCAGCTTTTATGGGTGATTGAGGTGAGGAGATGTTAAGGAGGGATCCAGAGCATGGGCACACCAGGTGAGGTTACTTATTTATTTTTCCAATTACATGTAAAATTTTTTAACATTAGCTTAAAAAAATTTTTTTTGCATTCCAGATTCTCTCTCCTCCCCCACTGAGAAGGCAAACAAATTGATATAGGTTATACATGTGCAATCATAAAAAAACATTCCTATGTTAGTCATGTTGTGAAAGAAAACACAGACAACCTCCCCCACCCCCAAATAAAGACAGTAAAAAAAAAGTATTCTTCAATCTGCATTCAGACTCCATCAATTCTTTCTCTAGAGGGCCCTTTGGAACTGTCTTGGATCATTATAATGCTGAGAATAGCTCATTCATTCACAATTCTTCATCATACAGTGTTGCTGTTACTGTGTACAATGTTCTTGTGGTTCTGCTCACTACTATGCATCAGTTCTTATAAGTCCAGATTTTTCTGAAATTACCCTGCTTGTAATTTCTTATAGCATAATAGTATTCCATCACAATCATATACCACAATTTGTTCAACCATTCCCCAACTGGTGGGTGTCCCTTTGATTTCCAATTCTTTGCCACCAAAAAAAGAGCTTCCATAAATATTTTTGTACAAATAGATCCTTTTCTTTTTTAAAAATCTCTTGGGGATACAGACCTAGCAGTGGTATTGCTGGATCAAAGAGTATGAACAGTTTTCTAACCTGTTGGGCATAGTTCCAAATCTTTCTTCAGAATGGTTGGGTCACTTCACAACTCCACTGAATGCATTAGTGTCCCAGTTTTCCCATATTCCCTCAAGCATTTGTCATTTTCCTCTTCTGTCATATTAACCAATCTGATAGGTGTGAGATGGCACCTCAGGGTTGTTTTAATTTGCATTTCTCTAATCAATAGTGATTTAGAGCATTTTTTCATATAACTATAGATGACTTTGATTTCTTTGTCTGAAAACTGCCTGTTCTTATTCTTTGAACATTTAATGATTTAAAGTCATACTTTTATAAATTTGACTGAGTTCTCTATATATTTGAGAAATGAGGCCTTCATCAGGGAAACCTGATATAACCTGCCCTTTTCTGCTTTCCTTCTAATTTTAATTGCATGGGGTTTTGTGTGTGCAAAAATTTTTTAACTTTATGTAATCCAAATTATCTGTTTTACATTCTGTAATGCTCTCTCTATCTTGTTTGGTTCTAAATCCTTCTCATATCCATAGATCTGATAGGTAAATTATTCCATGCTTTCCTAATATGCTATGGTATCACCCTTTATATGTAAGTCATGTACCCATTTTGACGTTATCTTGGAATATGTGTGAGATGTTGGTCTATACCTTGTTTCTGCCATATTGTTTTCTAGTGTTCTCAGCAGCTTTTCTCAAATAATGAGTTTTTGTCCCAGAAGCTTGGATCTTTAGGTTTATCAAACACTAGATCACTGTGATCACTACAAGGTATTGTATGCCCAATCTATTCCACTGATCCACTACTCTATTTCTTAGCCAACACCAGATTGTTCTGATGATTACCACTTTATAATACAGTTTGAGATTTGGTATGGCTACACTACCTTCCTTCCCACATTTTTTCAAATTGATCCCCTTCATATTCTTGACCTTTTGTTCTTCCAGATGAACGTTATTATTTTTTCTAGCACTGCAAAATACTTTTTTGATAGTTTGGTATGGCATTGAATAAGTAAATTAAGTTAGGTAGAATTGTCATTTTTATTATATTGGCTCTGCCTTCCCATGAGCAATTAAATTTTTTTCCAGTAGTTTAAATCTGACTTTATTTGTGTGAAAAAAGTTTTGTAATTTTGCTCATATAGTTCCTGGGTTTATCTTGGCAGGTAGACTACCAAGTATTTTCTATTGTCTACAGTTATTTTACACGGACTTTCTTGTTCTGTCTCTTGCTGTTGGACTTTGTTGGTAATATATAGAAATACTGATGATTTATGTGGGTTTATTTTATATCCTGAAACTTTACTTAAGTTAATTATTTCAACTAGTTTTTTAGTTGATTCTTTAGGATTCTCCAAGTACATCATCATATTGTCTGCCTCATTGCTTATTCTAATTCCTTTAATTTCTTTTTCTCCTCATCACTATAGCTAACATTTCTAGTACAATGTGAAATAATAGTGGTAATAAGGGGCATCCTTGCACTCCTGATTGTACTGGGAAGGCTTCTAGCTTATCCCTGTTACAGATAATGCTTGCTGACTGTTTTTTTTTAATAGATACTATTTATCATTTTAAGGAAAGATCCATTTATGCTTATGCTTTCTAAGGCTTTTTAATAGGAATGAGCATTGTATTTTGCCAAAAGCTTTTTTCTGCATCTGTTGAAATAAGCATACGATTTTTATTGTTTTTGTTATTGACATGGCAAATTTTGTTGATCATTTTCCTAATATTGAACCAGCCCCGCAAACCTGTTACAAATCTCATTTCGTCATAGTGTATGATTTTTGCGACATATTACTATAAAGCATTTTATTTTAAAAATTTGCATTTTGGTTTTAAGTACCAGCACCATATTTGTGTTATAAAAGGAATTTGGTAGGACTTCTTCTTTATGTATTTTCCCAAATAATTTATATAGTATTGGAATTAATTATTTTTTAAGTTTTGGATAGAATTCACTTGTGAATCCATGTGGTCCCGGTGATTTTTTTTTTCATAGGGGGCTTATTGATGGCTTGTTCTATTAATTTTTCTAAGATAGAGTCATTTAAGTATTCTATTTCTTCTGTTAATCTGAGCAATTTATATTTTGTAAATATTTATCCATTTTGCTCAGGTTGTTAGATTTCTTGGCATATAATTGGGCAAAATAGCTCCTAATAATTGCTTTAATTTCATCTTTATTGGTTGTGAATTCACCTTTTTCAGTTTTTGAATTTGGTTTTGCTAACTTGTCTTTCTTCCTTCTTTTTTGAAAATAAAATTAACCAATGGCTTATCTATTTTATTGTTTTGTTTATTAATTCAATGGTTTTCTTACTTTCAGTTTTATTAATCTCTCATTTGATTTTCAGGATTTCCATTCTGGTGTTTAATTGGGGATTTTAAATTTGTTCTCTCTCTCTCTCTCTCTCTCTCTCTCTCTCTTCTCTCTCTCTCTCTCTCTCTCTTTTTTTAGTTTCCTGAAGCCATGGCACATTTGGACAGCATACTGAAAAAAGAGACACATCACCTTGCTGACAAAGATCTATATAGTCAAAGCTATGGTAGCAATGTATGGCTGTGGGAGTTGGACTATAAGGAAAACTGAGTGCTGCAGAGTCCATGCTTTTGAATTATGGTGCTGGAGAACTTTTGAGAGTCCTTTGGACAGAAAGGAAGTCAAATCAATCAACATTTATAGAAATTAATTCAGGCTGTTCACTGGAAGGTCAAATACTGATGCTGGAGCTTAAATAATTTGGCCACATCATGAGAAGATGGGACTCATTGGAAAAGACCCTGATGTTGGGAAAGACTGAAGGCAAAAGGAAAAGGGGATAGCAGAAATTTGGAACCATGTCCAAAAGGCTATAAAACTGTACATACCCTTTGATCCACAATACTACTGCTAGGTCTACATCCTAAAGACATCCAAAAAAATGGAAAAGGACCTATTTGTACAAAAATATTTACAGTAGCCCTTTTTATGGTGGCTAAGAATTGGAAACCAAAGGAATGCCCATCAGTTGGGGAATGGCTGAACAAGTTGTGGTATATGAATGTAATGGAATACTATTATGCTATAAGAAATGATGAGCAGACAGACTTCAGAAAAACCTGGAAAGATTTACATAAACTGATGCATAGTGAAGTGAACAGAACTAGGAGAATGTTGTACAAAGTGACAGTAATATTGTTCTATGAAGAACTGTGAATGACAGCTATTCTCAGTGATACAATGATCTAAGACAATCCCAAGGGACTAATGATGAAGCATACTATCTGCCTCCAGAGAAAGAACTAAGATTGATTGAAAACAGACTGAAGCATGCTATTTTTCACTTTTTCTTTCTTTTTTCCTTTTATTTGAGTCTTCTTGTACGAAATGAGCAATATGGAAATATTTTGCATGATTGCACATTTATAACCTATATCTGATTGCTTACCATCTTAAGGAGAGGGGAGGGGAGGATAGAATTTGGACTCAAAACTTTAAATAAAAATGTTTTTAAAAATTGGAATAAAAAGTGGATGGCAGAGGATGAGATGGATAGATAATATCATAAAAACAACAAACATGAGCTTGGACAGCCTTCAGGAGATGGTGGAAAATAGAAGGGCCTGGTGTGGCATGGTTCATGGGGTCATGAAGAGTCAGACATGACTCAATGAGTGAACAACAAACCAACTAATTGATCTGCTCATCCTCTGATTTATTGATGTAAGCATTTAGAGAAATAAAATTTGCTCTAAAAACTGCTTTGGCTGCATCCCATAAATTTTGGTATGTTTTCTCATTGTTGTCATTCTCTTTAATGAAATTATTATTTCTATGATTTGTTCTTTAGGATTAGATTATTTAGTTTCCAATTAATTTTTAATCTGTATTTCCACAGACCTTTATTGAATGTAATTTTTATTGTGATTTTATTATGATCCCAAAAGGATGAATTTAATATTTCTGCTTTTCTGCATGTGTTTGTGAGGTTTTTATGCCCTAATGCATAGTCAGTTTTTGTGTAGGTGTCATGTACCACTGTTCCCATTCAATTTTCTCCAGGGGTCTATCATATTTAATTTTTCCAAAATTCTGTTCATCTCCTTATCATCTCATCTCTCTCTCTCTCTCTCTCTCTCTCTCTCTCTTCTCTCTCTCTCTCTCTCTCTCTCTCTCTTTAAGGTTTTTATTGATTTTTTGTTTATTTTCTTTTTTAAAAAAATTTTATTAATTTATTTTGATTTATCAATAATCACTTCCATATGCTTTTGAGTTTAAAATTTTTCTCCCCCTTCCTCCCCACCACCCTCCCCAAGACGGCATACAATCTCATATAGGCTATACATTTACATTCCTATTAAACATATTTTCACATTAGTGAAGTTGTAAGTAAAAATTAAAACCAATAGGAGGAACCATTAGAAAGAGGAAACAAAACTCAACAGAAAAGAAAAAAAGATGATGGCGATTCAGCTTCCATAGTTCTTTCTTTGGATGTGGATAGCATTTTCCATCACGAGGTCTCTGGGGATGTCTTAGATCCTTGTATTACTGAGAAGGATTAAGTTTATCAATATTAGTCGCTGCACAACGTGGCTGTTATTGTGTACAATGTTCTCTTGGTTCTGCTCGCCATCTCTCTTTCTTGTTTGTTTTTTGGTTAGATTTATGTAGTTCTGAGAGGGGAAAGTTGAGGTCCTCCATTAGTATAGTTTTAGTATTTCCTCTTTTAACTCATTTAACTTTTCCTTGAAAAATTTCCGTGCTATCCTGTTTGATGTATATATGTTTAATATTGGTATTAGTTCATTGTGTACAGTTGCTCATTGTTCCTTGTTCTCAAAGAGGACCAAAATGACATCACTATGTCACAGTGTCCAGCTGTGGCTAATCAGACCGATTTGAGCTCAGAATGTTCTACCTCAGGTTAGGCACGAATAGTCCAAGTGAACATTTGGGGTTAATTCTCTAAATTTGTGTGTCTCAGATTTCTTTTGAGCTACTTCAATTCTGCTTTGCTCGCAGAGCACAGCACCTTCTCTGATGAGGGCATGCCATGCTGGGCAGTCACATGTCAGTGTCTCCCATGTCACACCATCAATTCCAAAGTTCTTTAGAGAGACCTTGAGAGTCCCCTTGTATCACTTTTTCTGACCTCCATGTGAGTATTTGCCTTGTATAAGTTTTCCATGAAGTAGTCTTTTTGGCAAATGTATGTTTGGCATTTGAACAATGTGGCCAGCTCATTGGAGTTTTAATCTCTGCAGTGGAGTTTGAATGCTTGGCAGTTTAGTTCAAGAAAGGACATCAGTGTCTGGCATCTTATCCTGCCAAGTGATCTTCAGAATCCTCTTAAGACCATTCAAATGGAAGCAATTCAGTTTCCTGGCATGGAGCTGGTATACTGTCTAGGTTTCATATGCATACAACAATGAGGTCAGCACAATGGCTCTGTAACCTTAAGTTTGGTAGTCAGTCTAATACCTCTTCTCTCCCATACTTTACTTTCACACTTTCAGAGCCTCCCAAACTCTGAGCTACATCTGGCAATGCATGTGTCAACCTCTTTATCAGTACATATATTCCTAGAAAATGTACTGCCTTCCCTAATTGATAAATGGTCAAAGGATATGAACAGGCAGTTCTCAGATGAAGAAATCAAAGCCATCTATAGTCATATGAAAAAAATGCTCTAAATCACTATTGATTAGAGAAATACAAATCAAAACAATTCTGAGGTACCATATCACACCTATCAGATTGGCCAACATGACGAAACAGGAAAATGATAAATGCTGGAGAAGATGTGGGAAAATTGGAACACTAATGCATTGTTGGTGGAGTTGCAAAATGGTCCAACCATTTTTGAGAGCAATTTGGAACTATGCCCAAAGGGCTATGAAAAATGCATACTCTTTGACCCAGCAATACAAATGGGAAAAGGACCTACGTGTACAAAAATATTTATAGCAGCTCTTTTTGTGGTGGCAAAGAATTGGAAATTGAAAGGATGCCCACCAATTGGGGAATTGCTGAACAAGTTGTGGTATATGAATGTAATGGAATACTATTGTGCTATAAGAAATGATGAACAGGCTGACTTCAGAAAAACCTGGAAAGACTTGTATGAACTGATGCTGAGTGAAGTGAGCAGAACCAGGAGAACATTGCACACAGTAACAGCCATGTTGTATGATGACTAATATTGATAGACTTAACCCTTCTCAGCAATACAAGGATCTAAGACATCTCCAAAGGCCTCATGATGGAAAATGCTATCCATATCCAAAGAAAGAATTGTGGAGTTTGAAAGCAGATTGAAGCATACTATGTGCTATTTTTTTCCTTCTGTTGTGTTTTGTTTCCTCTTTCTGGTGGTTCCTCCTATTGGTTCTAATTCTTACCTATAACATCACTAATGTGAAAATATGTTTAATAGGAATATATATGTATAGCCTATATCAGATTGCATGCTGCCTTGGGGAGGGAGGAAGAGAAAAATTTAAAACTCAAAAGGTTATGGAAGTGATTGTTGATAATTCAAAATAAATTAAAAATTAAAAAAAAATAAAGACCATATTGTCATACTCAGAAGTAAATGTTCAAATGTGAAAAAAAAGAAAATGTACTGTCAAGGTAAGTGAACTTAACCACAGCATTCAAAACTTTTCCATTTACTATAACTGATGGTTCCATGTATGGATGGTGTGGATGGCTGATGGAGCCACCTGTGTTTTCTTGGTGTTAATTGTTAGGCCAAAATTAGCACAAGCCACAGAGAATCAATGTATACTTTGTTGCATCTCAGCTTCAGAGGCTGCACTGAGTATACAATCATCATCTGCGCACAAAAAATCATGCATCAGCACTCCCTCCACTTTGGTCTTGGTTTGTAGCTTTTTCAAGTTGAAGAATTTACCATCAGTGCGGTAGCTGACTTTGACGCCACGTTCATTCTCATTGAAGGTGTTTGACAACATGGCTACAAAGCATGGGTGCAAGCATGCAGCTTTGTTTCAGCACTGTCTGTTACACAGAGCCTTGGGCATGTATATTGTCATGAAATCGACATACAATACTGATGAACTTCTCCAGGCAACCAAATTTTGACATTATTTTCCATAAACTCTCATGCCTGACAGGATCAAAGGCCTTGGTCAGATCTATGAATATTGTGGGCTGTGTTATAGTGGAAACTCCTTTGGTGTATAGGATGGGTTTGAGACCACTGAGGTCTTTTCCTACTCTCAGATGCTGAGACTCTGGAGTCCCTGGTCTTACAACTTTTCCTTAGGGCTGTCTGGCTGGTTGGATGGATAATTGGAATGGAATGGATCCATCATGCTGATGTCCCTCTGTCCTCTCATCTGGCAAGGGGTTGCTTTGCCTTGTTTTCCAGGCAGTGAACAGAACCCAAGGCTGGGCAGAGGTCTGAGCTAGGAGACCCAGGAAGCCTTTGGGGCTATCACTCTCCCAACTCACAAGAACTCCTTTCTTTTAAATGACCTTGGAATTGAGGTGGGGGTAGGAGACTTCTGAAGGTGAAGCCCCTGACTCGAGCACCTTGGTGGCCTCTGTCTTCTAGCTCTCCCAAAGGCATTAGCTCTCTTGGCTTGGACTTTTTTTTGGTGCCTTTCTGGGGAGGTTTGTGGAACAGACAGAAAAGCAGAGGTAGACATTTTTTCCTTCTAGCTCATCAAACACTTATATAACCTAAGTGAAATCTGGTTCTGGTTAGAGTACAGTTGAGGGCTAAAAAAAATTCAAGTTGTCTGAAGATTCTACCACAGCCAGGCTGGAAAAGAAGCAGCTGGGAATAGTTAAGAAAGCTGGCAGCTGCTACAGTA